CCTCTCTCCATCGACAATAAGAAAGACCTAGGAACTATTTTTATCTATAGGAAAATAAATAGAAGACTTGTTTTCCTTTATATGCTGTAATGTGCACACAATATTAGCAATAACTGATTGCTGCTTGAACTGAAATTAAATAAGTTTCTCTTAGGGAATTTGGTTTTTAATTTTACTTAGGTATTTACTTCTATACTGAATGGGAAAACTTGTAAGTCATATCTAAATATGGATCTTGGCTATGATACTAAATCAGTCGTATACTGTAGAGCCATCCTGGTTTCAGTAACTTAGCTTCCTCGTCTGTAAAATGGGGTGACAGTCCCCACTGCATCCCAAGTATTCCTGTGAATAAAATGAGACATCACTTCATACACAGGAGTCTGGCGGCAACTGGCAAGCAAGAAGGGACTGATTAAATGTGCCTTCCCTTCCCTGGTGCAGCATAATATAATGTGATATTTAGAATTTTAATTCAGGCAATTACTTAAGTAGTAATTGCTATTTGTATTTACATAGCTGCTTTGATCCAAGAAGCTCAAAGGGCTTACTAAATTTAGCATTTTAATAAATGTTTCATTTGCATTCTGTTGGTTATGTTTACCCACACCAAAACTTGGAATTTCCTGAAGGGAGACAGTCCATAAGTAAAGTGAACAAGGTAATGCCTTCATGTGTGCTGGCATCCCAGGTCTCACTTCTGTCTGTGTACTAAGAGGTTGTCACTCCATAGCAGCAATGCATAAGAACAGAGGCTCCAACACACCTGCTTCCTCCTGTCTCTCTTTTAGCTTTGGGCACGCTCAACTTGATCCCACCATGCTCCTCCGAGGCACTGACAACAGGGGTGTTTATTGCACCAATGGCTTTATATATAATCAGCACAATAAACATTATTAAATTGTCAGGAGAGACTCAAAGCAGGAAGTGTGGCACCGCACTGAATTCTAACGATGCTGACCGTCCACAGATTGCACGGGGACAGGATCTTAACAAGCCCTGATTTGAGTGTTGGCATCCGCCTCACAAATCACATGGGCCGCTCCTCCTCACACACAGCTGAATACTGATGGACGTCTCCACCCTGCGCAACAGGGAAGTGGGTTTCTATTGGCAATCTTTACCAAAGTGGGTTTCTTCCCTTCTCTGCACTCAAGGGTTTACCCTGAATGATTTAATTATAATTTTCCTTGTGTAAGACAAATTAAAGAGGAGAGTAGGAGTGTCGTGCCAAGCACATTATTTATCTCCTTAACAGATTGCAGCTCACCAAACCCCAGAGCTACTGCGGCGGCGGCTGCTCACAGAGGCTGAAAAACGTACGGGGCAAGAGTGGGAAGATGGAGGTTTCCAAATGGCGTGCAGATATGTGAGCCAGGTAAGAGCCTTACACATCCCACAACTTAAAAAAAACACACACACACACACAAACAACAACAAAAGTCCTCTCTCTTTCTCTCTCCAACCAATTTTCACACACAACACTCCTAGATCTTTTCAGGAAAACAATCCCCTGAAGGCTGCTAACAGAGGAGAGAGTTTGCCGGGTTAGATTACTGTGCACAGTGGCAAGGCCTCTTGCTTGTTCGGTTACCGCTCTTGAGAGTGGAGGGAAAAGTGTATTCCCTGGCAATCACAGGAGAGCTTGGAAGGATGCATATTTCACAAATGTCCTAGAGAGGGAGGGATAAAAGGTTTTCGTAGCAGTATGGAGAACTCCTGTCCCCTAGACAGCTCAGGGTACTCTTGAAAACATACTTCCTTAGTGACAACCCCCCTCACATTCTTTTTTCTACTGAGGAGAACACGGCCACCACCAATGGGACTTTAAAGTACACCATAGTAGGGCTGAGGGCTAGTGATAGATCACTCGCATAGCATATCTCCAGCACTGCTAATAAATGAATAAATATTCATCCTGATGAGGTAAGCAATGCTAATATTCATTTTTAAAGTACCTATATCTATATAAACAGCTTAAAGATTATTGATTGTTGATTGATCACTTCTATAAGCTTAAAGCTACTATGTCATCATTAACCTAAGGTATTAGAATCAGTTCAAAGTCTGCTGGTACAAGGTGGTGATTTTATCTCTGTGGCAAAGCTTCTGCTTAACATGTATGTACAAGACCCTGCACTCACCAAAGCCAAGTGCATTTGCTAAAGCTGTCTCTGAATACAGCCACCACTGTCGATGTGTGAGGTACTATGAGATAGGACAATCAAGGGAGTAAGAAACATCATCTGATTCCCTAGTTCCCTGCTCTCTGCCTGTGTGACAAGAACTCAGCCCATTCTCACATGCAGACCAAGGCTCGTGGAACTCTCAACTCTCTTCTGACCCACTGCCTAATTTTAGCATAAGATTCAATGCAACATTTGTGCAGACAAATAAGGACTACAAAAAAAAAAAAAAAAAAAAAAAAAAAAAAAGGAAGAAAGAAAGAAAGAAAGAAACAAAAGAAAAGAAAAATCAAACAAACTCAGTCTGCGGGAATCAGACTGTGTCTTAGATCCACTTACTCTCGAACGTGTCTTAAGACATGAAAAGGCCTATTCTTCTCCAGGCTTGCCTCCTTGCTGTTCTACCACTGGACTGCAGACACATAACCTTTTAGGAGGAAGACGAGCACAGTGCATCTAAACAAGGAGACTTTCAGTGTCACAGAAAATCTGTGCAGTCTCCACAGCGGCCTGGCTGACAAGATTGCAACAAATACCTTAAGTGCATCAGTGGGCATTTTTCAGTGCATGGCCTCCTGCTCTGCCTATGGATAAAGATGTAATTCAATCACTCTGCAGTAAATGGACAGCATCAACATCGGGACAGGGAGAGCCAGTACCACAGCAGCCTAGAATCTTTCTGTTAAAGTCATCTAAGGTTTGCTACTGGGAAATTAAAAAAAAAAAAGTAATAAAGACATTACAATAGATTCCAAGGCAAGATCAAAGACTGGTATCCAGGCACCTTTATCCTTCACCCCTGAGAAGCTGGAAATCCAGGAAGCTGTGTCTGGGGTAGGCTACAAACCAATCCTTCCTATTCACCTTGCTGTTCTTCAGTCCCTTCTAGACCACTAGGCTTAAAGCATCTTTTAGCTCCTTTCATGACTACCAGTGACATTCCAGAGGAATCTTCAAGCAGACTTGCAGTTATTAGTTATAACATATATGTTACACTCACTCAGAAAACCTGATGGATTTTACTCTCAAATCTGGTACGTATACAGACATGTATGAATATGTGTGCCACTCAGGAGGGATACATTCAGAGGCATAGGTAACATCACAGGGTATATCTATGAAGACATAAATGGTACAAGACTACACATCTAGGCTGTGTGTGCATGTGCAAGCACATACGGTAAGGTCAGCTACTGCTCCTACAGTCCCAATGGGATGGCCAAAACAACCCAATTTAATTAAACCAAGCGCACACACACACAACCAAGCGCACACACACACACACCAAAAAAAAAAAAAAAACATTAAACCAAGCAGCACAAGGAAACCCAAGCCCGAGTCATGGGGTAACACGTGATGTAGGAGGTTGCTGCCACAGGAACATGGTGAAATATATTTGTGTGGGAGAGGTACAGTAGGAGTAGATCCTAAACTAATGATTACACAGCACAGTCCAGTAAGCACATCAACTGGTCACATCATCACTGTCAAGGGTTATGTCCTGTTTATAACTGTATGTGCTATACTTTCCACACAACCGACAACTCGGCGAGATTAGTACACGATCAAGGCTACAAACACTGGGGAAATGCCTCCATCTGTACAGTTACAATGACTACGCTGTCAGCGAAGGGATTTGTCAGCTCCGTTATGTTATCTGGCCACCACTGTGCAGGTGGTCACATACCAACACATCACTACACAATTATGCAGGACTGTACACTGCATTTCAGACAGCATTTTTCTGATATAACAGTACATATCTAGTTAAAACGGGGTGTACAGTGCTCAGCATTGTAGAAAACATATGATATGATACCGCACTTGCGTAGTTTATAAAGTGAAACTTTTTCACTGAGCCATTCAGACTTCAAAGCAAAAATAGAGAACTTGCTTTTGCCTGACAAAAATGTTTTGCTATGAGAAATTCTGGCAAGGGTCCTTGCCCTCTGTGTCCACAAGCTCCCCATATGAAATATATAGGAAAGGCTCTACATCGAGTAAACAGGGAAAAAACTGTCCGTTTGAGAAGCATTATATATTCCATTTCTGATGTGTATTGAAACGCTAGCAGTAGTGTTTCTGGGTGTGACAGAATGGACACACAGCTTCATTTCCTTAGGGCTTTAAAGGACACGACGCAGTCAGGATCTTAAAAACAGTCCAAGCTTCACCTATCACTCATCAAAATCTCAGGGCATTAAAAACATAAAGACTTAACTTACAAACCGGAACAACGCACCAGCTGGGACCATCAGGGGAAAGTGAGGTTCAGTCCAATTCACCCTCATTAAATCTCTCCTTAGTTTCTATGCTGAAAAGGCCCACGCTTCCTTCTGGGAACTCGATGAAGAACATGGGTTCCCCCACTTCGGGGAGAAGCAGTGTAAACTAGCACTAAGTGCTGTGTTTCCTTAAACCAAGACTTGAAATTGCCCACAGCACACACCACTGTCGCCTTCGAAGGTGCTCAGAGCCAAGGCATTCAGTTTGCATAGAGTGAGCTCCTGGCAGAGGACACACTTGGCCTGGAAGCCTTGAGAACCAACCCTTCCAAGGAGGAACTGTGAGAATTCTGCCAGGGCTCCTAAGCCGAGTGCAGATCTAAGAAAGTGCTAACTCCATGTTGAAAAGGTGAAAATAATTAGATGCTTCGAACCCAAACCATAGTGAATACATCCTGAAGTAATTATATGCGCATCCAAGCCCCATGAACACAACCAGGTTTCGCAGAGACACGGAAAAGGCAAGGCCATCTGTCCTCCGTCCAGGCGGAAGGCAGTACTGACCACAGACGGGTGGGGAAACTCCTACCTTTCCCGTTTGGGAGTGTGGACTGAGAGTTGTCCATTGGTAGAGGCGTGCGGGTTCATGATGAGGGAGGTCTTGGAAGGTGCTGAGGATGAGACACATGTGCTGGTCAGGTCTAGGCTGCTGTGATTGCTGCCTGTGGTCTCCTCTGCAGTGTGGGCACTTGTCACCTCTTTCCACAGCTGCTGCAGTTCCGTTGGAATCATGCCTGAAACAAACAAATTGGATAATCAAATCAATTAACAGCTAATTCCATCCTCTTCAAACAGTAATTAAATCAAAGAGTCAGTAAACAAAGCTTAGTGTTAGGGGGGCTTTGGGGTGTTCACACTTTCCTTTTTTCCCCTCCAAACTATGGCAAATACAGTAGTGATAAGTGCACCCTCCCACTGGGCCACCATTGAAGTCCCCTCTTCACACAAAACAGACACCTTGAAATGGATGCAAAGCACTGTTACTCTGCAACGGCATGACTCCCTTCATCCAAAGGCTGTTTCTCAGATCTACAAGGGTAGAGAAAGGCTAGCTTATGTCTAGGAGGCCACAAAATAAAATTTGTCGAACTGTAGTCCCATGACAACACGAACCACAAAATGAGTAATTTTTGTGCTTAAGTCTTAAATGATGACAAATAGCTTTGTTATTGAATACAGTTTTTATTAATCACTTTTAGACATAAATTATGAATTCATACCATCTTCCTGAAATGCTTTTCAACTTTTAACAGTCAAATTGATTATACTATGATTATTTCATTAACACACCTATCTTCCTCATTAATTTTGGTTTCTAGTACCACATGCTTAATTGATGGATGTGTCTACTGAAGATTGTGTAACTTTTTATACAAGTAACACTATTATTACTGTCATTTCTGAGATCAATGCTAATGAGCCATTTCAGAGTAAAAAATGGAAAGGAAAATAAGCTTAGGGTAATAAAAGTTCTTGTTTGTTTGAATGGGGTCAAAATGGGCAGGGGTCTTCAAAAAATACTTTTCAAACTTTATTTTCCCTGAGATGAGATGCCATCAGGATGTTAAGCTCATCGCTGTGGACCGTTTTATCGTTATCCGATCCAGCATAGCTTCTATAGGCCAGACTTCCCAAATTCTAGTTCACTGTATATTTTAGGTTGGGTTAAATGCCCAGAGAGACAGGTTCTGAACTGCACCTATGAACAGCAGAAGCTTTAGCTTCCTCTGAAGGAGGAGAAACAGCCACACACCCTGACATCACAAGGCAACTCCCCTCGGAACTGCATGTCTGGGCTGTAGTTCGTCATCTGCATGAGCTGGAACACAGCTCTCCTAGAAAGCCAGCCATTTTCCGGTTAAATAGCAACAGCCGAAACAGGCTTGTTTCTTACCAAACCAAAACGTACTGGTTTGAAAAGGAGAAGGCTGTATGCATTATATTCATTTGAAACACATCATAAAAAAATGCCAAGGTCTAAATTTAATTTATTTTTGTCATTTAGAATACAATGGCTAGATAATCATCTCAACGTGATCAGCCAAACATCTTTACTTTGCTAAACTGTTAAAGATTTTAATTATGCTAGCATTGGAGAGCACTGGTCTAATGAGGCGATGGACTCCAGAGAATCCGAGTGGTTAAGAACTGTGAAATGAGTCTGATAGGATTTTTTTATATTCACCGTAGATCGTTTGCATATCAAAGAGGAGTAAATTATTGCACAGCAGACCAATAACCTTCCCCGCCTTTCTAAGAGGAGCAGTAACAAAAACAGTTGGTCTCTCCAAGCAGTGCTCCAGGAAAATGTTCAAATGCTGAAGTATTTGCAATTAATATATATTATAAAGGAAGCCTCAAATAATACATTGAGTGGTCAGAGATCCTTCAAATGCATCCTCGACAGCTGGGTGGGTTTCCTTCTCCCTTCATAAAAAAATCAAATGCCAATTATATTTTGATGGATTTTGTCCCAAATGAGCATTTAGTTATTAGGCATATTCAATTATTCCTTGTCCCCTGAAATCAAACCTCGAGGCAAATTAAACAAAGGGAAAGGTCATGACACAATCCTGGGTACGGTTTCGCTGCATGTGAGCTATTATTTTCAAACACCTTTCAAAGTGACAGGTAGGATGTGCCTATAGCTAGCAGGTCTGCCACTGTGATCCACACACTGACAATTACCGGTAAACAAAGCTGACCCTTGGACCAGGCTTTACTCGGTTGAAACAATGGTGGGGGGGGAATGGGAGGGAGCAGGCTGGTCTGTGGGCGAGGGTGTATTGATATGAAGGCATATAAGTCAACATCTATTTTTATTTTCCAGTGAGTAAACACAGGAAAAGGAATAGCCACCTATTTTTCAACTCAGACTAATTGATTTCTGGGTCAACTACAAGGGGAAGAACATGGGTCTACTGACAGCTGCCTTCACACCTTCCTTCTGAGAAAAGCAAGACTCCGTGGTTAGTCTGAAAGGACAGCACTTCTCTGGCAAATTAAGATCGAGACAAATGTGTTCACTACTTGTTACACTTGCACAGTGCAGTGGTGCTGATTCTGGGTTGCTTTTTTTCCTGTAGGCTGGCACACCAGGTTCAGCATCCACATGGACCAAGTAGAAAGAGGGGACTGAATAAGTGACAATAGATACCTTGGGCCAAATGTCAATGTGATCATCAGACTCAGAAACATTCTCGATAGACTGAAGGCAGAAGAAGCAACTGATTCAATTCCTCCTTTTTAGTTGACTGTTAATCAGTGACTACTAGCCACTCCAGAATCCTACACTTCATGGCAGAGTTAAGACAGACAGCAGCTAAGCTGGTACCCATCAGAGTTACATGGATGCCCCTTTTTAGTTATCATGTGCTTCAAGGATGTGGAGCTTACATTAAAAAGAAAAGAAAAGATTACAATAAAGAGAAATGGGACAATTCTGTATGAAACTATTGGTAGTAAGGACAATCAAATGCTGAACGAATGGGGTGAGAACAGATAGACTTAACTATGGCAAACAGAATGGAGGATCTAGAACAGCAGGTATCAACCCTGGGCTGCATGACCCATTCACAGGGGTGACGTGATTTTGTAACTGTAGCAAAATTACAGTCATGTAGTAGCAATGAAAACAATTTTCCAGTTTGGGGTCAACACAACACGAGGAACTGTATTAAGGGGTCACAAAATTAGGAAGGTTGAGAACCACTGCTTTAGAATAATCAAAACAAAAACAAAAAATAAACAAGCAAACAAAAAGACCTCTACTATAAAATATCCAGAAAAAGGACTTTAAAATATCACGTGCTTTCCCTATACTTTCAGATTTACACATGGGTTTAAGGTAACTTGGCACGGCCATGCACGAGCTGCAGAAGAAACCCTGATGGTTTTATTTTGCAGTAGGCATCACCAGCACTTTCAGATACCTAACCCTGGTGCCTCACTATGTTTCTTTTATTCTTCCTCTTCTCTCTCTCTCTCTTTTTTTTTCCAGGACAACCTGTCCCTTCATTATAAAAGAAAATGCAAGCACAGGTTTAAAAAATGTATGTTGTGGGGACAGTTGACAGATTACTGCTTGTGGAACTCAATTTTATAACCCCAGGTATCACTGGCTCCAAGACAAACAGTTGATCAACCTTTTTTTGTCCTTGTACACCCGTACCCAGGTGACCATGTTCAAGCAAGCAGAAAGTTGATTTAAGCCTCATAATGACATCAGTTTTAAGCCATCATCTCTCGGATAAAAAAGAATTGTGTTGCAGTTCAAACGTGACTGAACGCTCTCGAGCCACTCTGCTGGGGAGGATGGGGAGACCAAAGTGAGCTCCTGCTTCATGAAAGATGTCAGTAACTTTGATCCACTTTGTTCCCATCGTCAAACGCCAGCAATGCCAACATTTACATGCATGCTGTCTTGGATGCACATACAGGCACCCCTTAGACTCTACATATGCTTCTACCTAATGTTGCAGGCACTAATAGTTACAGCCGACTGCTAAGCGTATCAATCAATGCCACGACTAGTGAATCGCCTAAGGTGTCTCAGACGTGCTACTGCAGAGATGACGCTGCATGCATCACCACGTTCATTTCTTCCACATTACACATGAGCTTGTCTTGTCACTGCCCAATTGCCCTCTTCTGGACAGCTTAACTGATGTACTGTAACAATGAACCTTAGTGAGCAACCTTAATAGTATAGGAGCGGTGGGAAAAGATGAGAGCAAGTGAAGTCCGGTGGGTGTGTCAGAACAGCCTGCCATGTTTCCAACAATAAACCAAAGGGTGTAATTAATGCAGGTTATAATATTATGCAAGCACAAAAATGCATTAGCCAAAGTGTCCTTCCTTTGCCCTGTGCTCAGTTCCCACTTCTTCCCACCGGACAGCAACAGAGGCGATGCCTCTCAGCTACCACGCAGCTCAGTAGACAAGGCAAGGACAGGTGGGAGGGCAGGAGGAAGTGAAAGAAGGAAAGAGACACAGTTTTAGCATTGCATTAAAAGCAAAGAAAACAACAACAAAAACCATAAGGGACAGATGTTGGGTGTGGTTGACTCGGGAGACAAAAACCTCAACAGACACGCCTCACTGGCTCCATGCAACACCAAAAGTTTCTAGACAAATGACTGCCTCTTCAGCTGGACAAGAGAGACCCATCATTCTCACCCTGCGTCAGAGGAAGCTGTAGCTACCATCTATCCAGAGGCAACTACAACAGGAACGACTACAGGCCTTAAGGGTGTGGCTGCAGTACCACACACAGTCATTCTCGAGCATTTGTAGGATCCCAGTGTGGATAGCAGGGAGCAAAGATGCTCAGATAGATTCCCCGTATCAAAAATCATGCATTACTCTGGATCTTGGTACACACCTAAATTCTCAGCTGTTGTTCAAGAGAATAAGACAGGAGTTTGGGGCCTTCCCAACTCACTTTCCAGACAGTGAGAGATACTGTCTGGAAAGGAAGGAAGGAAGGAAGGAAGGAAGGAAGGAAGGAAGGAAGGAAGGAAGGAAGTCCCAGAGGAAGGGAGGAAGGAAGAAAGGAAATAAAAAGAGAGAAGAGGATGTCATGGAATTTAATAGAACCTATGATCATTCTATTTAACTTTCAATCAGTCCTACGTTACTTATGGTACTTAATACTGTGCTAATAATTAAACATTGTTATCTATGACTATTGGTAGAATAACAAAAAAGGCACCTGTCCATGTTCAGCCCAGACAGCAGTATGGGTTCTTTTCTGTCTCTCAATATGTACTTGGTAGAGTCTGAGAATGTGGACTGCACATGTACGGAAAGATGGGTAATTGGGACAAGGGAATTGGCCTTTAAACATAGTCACAGCCTTCCAACATCCTTCCTCCCCATTCCCTTTTTAGTCCTGAGTAAATCAGAGCTGGTTACACCCTGAGGGTCTCCTAAGAATACCTACAGATCACCTTTATCTCTGATACCAGCAACTTTTCAAAAAAGATTCAAGATAGCTACTGAACACTGATACTTTTCCAGGCTGGAGAGATGGCTCTTTGGTTAAAAGTACTGACTGTTTTCCCGGAGGACTGGGGTTACATTTTCAGCACCCATATGATGGCCCAAGGTCACCTGTAACTCCAGCTCCCAAAGACCTGACACCCTCTTCTGGCACCCATGGGTGCTACATTCACATGGTACACAGACAGACATGCATGCAGGCAAAACACCATACAACACATACAATGATGATGATGATGATTATGATTATGATAATAATAATAATAATAATAATAAAAGACAAACAAACAAAAAAACACCAAAAATCCTTCATACTTTTCAAGCAAAGTTAAAAAAAAAAATAACATGAGTGCTCCACTCACTAGCTAAAAATCAGCAGAAAAAAGTATAAAAAAGAAACAGAAACAAAACAAAAAAATATTCCACTGATTTTTAAAAAACAGATTGATGTTAACATCCATGGTGGAAATAAAACTGATAGTATGCCTAAATATTTAATAAAAAAAAATAGTGTTTAGGGGGCTGAAAAGATGCTGCAACAGTTAAGAACACTGGCTGTTCTTCCAGAGGCCCTGGATGCGATTCCTTGCGCCCACAGGGCAGCTGACAACTGTCTGTAATTCTAGTCCCAGAAGGTCTGACACTTTCTTCTGGCCTCTATGGGCATCAGGCACACACATGGTATACAGTCATACATGCAAATAAAAATGCAATTAATGAATAGTTTTTAAGTGGTGCTTATATAAAATAGTACTAAGATACTAAGATTTCAATGAGAAGCCCCGCATCATGGACTCAGGTTGAGGCAGGAGTATTGTGATTTCCAGGTTAGCCTGAGCTATGTCAGAAATCCTATCAGAGAAGGAGAAAAGGAGAAGAGTGGGGGAAAGGGAGGGAGGACGGGGGTGGGGAGAAAGAAAAGGGGGGTGTATGTAGAGACAAAGATGAGAGGGGAAGGAGGAAGGGGAAAAAAAGAACCTTGTATGTTATAAAACATGTCTTAATATGTATGATTAAACAGTATGTTTTAAGAACATTCAGAACCGAAAGGCCCAAAGACTACACTGAAATACCTTTGATTTCCTTTCTCCCCAACGACTGCAACACTGTCCCTGTGAGCATTTGGATCCCCGACTCTTCCTCTTGACATCAACAGGCACTGCAAGGGCCCATCTGCTTTTTTGGTTGTTTGCCTAATGTCTCTCTGTACATGTTTCAGGTGGGCATTTCTCCTCATCCCAAGCAGGCAGAGATCAAGAAACACCCTCCTCCCCTGCCCACTGCCTCCACAGAGCTACCTCCCGGATAATGGATGCATACCTTGAGCAAGAGGTTGGAGGGGAAGGGCAGGCTGCCCGGGCTGAATTGTTAGAAGGCCTTGGCGCTGCAGAGACAGGAGGTGCTGCTGCTGCAGCTGCTGCATCTGTAGAAGCTGCTGCTGGAAAGCCAACTGCTGGGTAGCCACCTGCTGTTGCTGCAAGAAACAGTGAGGGGCAGAATGAGATGGCCACTTTCCAATGAAGGTTAAAAGGGTGCATGTTTCAAAACTCGCCGCCATCTCCAAAAACCTGAGGACTGCCACCTGAGCTCGGCGGAGGGCTCAATGTCAAGGTTTAAAAGGGACACAACATAGCATGTCTGAAGACAGGTAAGGGGGGGGTCTGTGTTCACTCTTCTGATGCCCCCCCAAGTAAAGGATTCCTTTGACAAGCCTGCTTTCCCAATCCCAACAGTGGGAAAAGCTTGACTTCTGTAGTTACCAAATGAACTTTTGAGACTTTGAAATCTGTAATTATTCAGACTAGAAAGGAGATTTCATCCTTCTAGTCTGGAGGGATTTGAACCTTACACCCTTGAGGTGTAAAAGAGCAAGATGTCTCCCTCCTTGCCTGCATTGTTGAGGACCTTTCACTAGTGTTTATCATTTCTGACATAAATAAATGAGAAAAAAATCAGACCTTTGAAGAAGAAAAACTTCATCTAATATTGTTAATTAGCCATGACAAACGATGAAATAACATTGTAAATCTTTCACAGAAACAGCCACTAGGTTTTAATTACGAACATTCATAATTTAGCAAACAACATCGTACTCCACTATTGAGTGTTTAATGGGAACAGGCTCTCCAAGCTTTAAGATCCTTCAGTTGGCTTGAGTTTCAACCTCCAAGTCGTCCTGTGTCCCCCGCCCACTTTGTTCTAGAAAGGAGGGGCTTTATGATATGATAAATATCTCTGTTGACTGGACAATGACAGGAGGAAAACTTTTGTTGTGTAAAACATCAATACATCATTCCTGTGTTTAGCAGGCTTTACCCCAGCCAAAAAAATTAATGTAGATTTCCTCAGTAATTATCTGAGTGATAGAAAGATAATACGGTGCAGGACTACAATAAATAGAAGGAAATTATCTAATATCCTTAATCTGCTAGGAATCATATCGAGGTGGAGGTCTTGGCTACATTATGGCTAACAATTAACCCTTTCCAAACTGAACCCAAGCATATATATATATATATATATATATATATATATATATATATGTATCTTTAAGGAACACATAAGAGCTCTCTTAAATTCTGAATATTATTCCAAAGGTCAGGGAGACTTTTACAACTAAGATGATGACCAGTGTTTTTAGAGCCAGCTTTGCTTAATAATGATATTTGACAAACAACCTCGTTCACTTAACCTAACACATGACCTTGATCTGATATGACCGTGAAATGGTGTGTGCACCAAGACCTTCTGATGCAAAGTTCAAAGGAAGAGAAGAACGGTGGTTTCCTTTTGGCCTCCATGCAGTTTATTTTACAGTAAAAAAAAAAAAAAAGGGAGAAAAAAAAGTCATCGTCCTCATATTAGTAACCAATTTCAGACTTACCACCACGCCACTGAGAAAGTTAATTGAGTTTCACTCCAAAAAACAAAATCTATACCACTAACAACAAAAATTTAAATAAATTTAAATGAAAAGCCAGTACTTTCATTTTAAGAACAGCATGCAGAAAATGATCCAATTGTTTTCACCCCTTCCCAAGTTACCACATTAATGTGAAACCCAGTGATAGTTATATTCATGTCAAAAGGATTCTCACTTCTTCAACAGATATTAACTCATGACATTAAAGAAGAGCGATATGGACACAGTAAAAGACTGGGGAATTAGCCCCTGTTGAAGTCAAATATAAGGGAGGGGGTGGAGGATGGGGTGGATTCTTCCTGTCTTACTGTAAATGAATGTTTAAAAATTGTGTATTTATACAAAATGACTGATGCCTTTTTCTGTTGTCCGTGGCCATCCCTAGGAAAGGCCCATGAAAGCTGTCCACGTTTGAAAAGCCAGGATATAAAAGTATACAAGGCCCATTGTCCAAAGAAGAATTTAAAAGCAACACTGGTTGCCAAACCGTGCTCCCCACCCAGTTACCAAACACAGGATACGAGGCCGTTTGTTTACTTCTCACAGTTGAATGCATACAAAAAAGGTCTCTGCACAGTCCCGGGACAGGTCAGCAGTCAGTGTTAAAATGCTCAAATGCCCTGATAAACCTTTCGGTTCAGGTCCCCTCCCTAGAGCTGCAGTCAAAGGTCTGTTTTCCTTTCTTTGGCTACTCCCTACTGCCTAACATAAACTGTCATAACTGCCCAGGACAAACGGCCCTTTTAAAACAATCGACTTAGCCGCCTTACCACACAGGATGGCACCCCCACAAACACCAGGCTGGATTTTAAAGCCAGTTCTCCCAGCTACTCCCCCAAACTAGCCGAGTCCAGAATGCAGAGGCTGTGCTTCTGTGGTGCCCTGGGCTACATCTCTGACACCATCAACACCTATCTCCAAAAGGAGCATCTTGTGTCTGGTTCAAACTTCCCAGGGAGTACCAAACACACCTTCAGGGAAAAACACAGAGAAGTCCACAGGTAATCAGAAAAGGGGAAAAACAGGAGAGGAAGTACCTGAAGGCAGAAAAGAATGTGTCTCTAAGGACAGCACATTCATTCCGTAAAGATATACACCAGCTCCATCTGCCAATGTCTATGTTCAAAACCTGTCAAAACTATCAGCAGCAGGCGACCCCATACAGCTGCCACCATGTGATGCTTTCACCATAGCACAGGAGGTCCATCACCTGCATGGTGGTTTTGGGACACAAGCCCTTGACATTTCAGAAAAGCAGGATCTCCTAACTACTGGTGTAACAGCCCAGGGGCATCATAAACACACAGGGAAATCCAAGGACTCACTTGTCTAACCCTACCTGCCTTGCCTTCCTCTCAGTACACCGAGGCCACACCAAGCCATGGGTCACAACAAGCTCACAGTCCTCAGGATGCAAGCAAGCAAACAAAAACCAAAACCTATTACAGTGCAGAACCCTCTTTGCCTAAGACACAACATGCTCATGTGGCCATCACTCTGGCCAAACTCAGATGTCACTGTCATGTTTGTGTGCCCCCCCCCTTCCTGACAACAGCACGCACGTTGGGAACTCTCTCTCTCTCTCTCTCTCTCTCTCTCTCTCTCTCTCTCTCTCTCTCTCTCTCTCTCTCTTCCACTGGGGAACTCCCCCCACTCCTCCTCTTTCTGGAGCCCTCAGAGCTCATCTGAACTTTCATGTCTTCCCAGCACGCGGATGTGCTTTCCAAACTCTGTCTACAAGACCAAATAAGAGGTTAATAAGAAGTGGCAACGGGAAGGAAGAACACAACCCCTGGTAACTGATAAGAGTGACAGTGGCAGCCCTTTTTAGTGTGTCTTCAAATATAGAGTTAAAGATCTTTAAAAAACTAAATTTTGATGCCTTTGAAAAGAAAGAAGCACAAAATAACAACAGGGGGTTATTGCCTGCAAGCCACGGGGGAGAAACTCCATAATTCTTCTTCTCCCTTTTGAAGGCTGTGAGAAATCTGATTCAAAAAAGCAACAGCAGAAGGGGAAACCTCTTGAGGCTGTAACCATTTCCTGTGATCATGCATAATGTGCTTCAAAAGTGGGTTTTTACCAACTCTGTTGATCAATTGCACCTCCTTCATAGCCCTTCTTTTTTCTGCTGTGTTTACATCTGATGTGACTCAATGACAAGCACTGTCTGAGACTGTGAAACAGGCCTGTCATGTTGATTTATGGGCGCATCAAACCCCAACTTGTCCAAACTGAAGCTCGCAGTTCATTAATTAGAGAGTTGTGACTTTGAAGTCAGCTTTCAGACTGTGGTTTTTAACATTTGGCTTAATTTATATGCTCTTGAATGTGGATCTCTAAGGGAAAAAACTGAAATTCCCTCCTTGTCTTTGAACTTCTTTTGACCGCACAATAATCATTTCTTTGTCCAGAGTGATGCCTGCAATCCCAGAGTCATTAAGGCGCATTGAACTGCCACTGATGAGTAAGCCCCGCTGAATTAGAAAAACAGCCAGGAAAACAAAGCTGAGAGCCTTCTGCGGGGTGATATCTCACAATTACATGCCTTCCCTCCCCGTGCCATTTCCATTTTAATTACTGTTAGTCCTTTAGATTTACATTTTAGACACTTTTTAATCTGTTCCCTTTTTTATTAGAGCAGCGCCTGGTAGCGAGCCACTGTCCTTAAGGTTGTGTCAGCATTTTCATTAATATGCCTCCTCCCCTTTACCCCCAAACTGCCCCTGCTCCGCGGGGGGTTTACAAGCAGCCTGCTAAACAGGACTCGGGGTGGGGAAACTTGGCAGAGCATGGAGAGCGAACCCAATTTGTGTAAAGGGAGGAGCTGGCATGGAGAGAAAAGTCTGGGAAACTCCCATGTGTAAAACCATCATCCATACTCATGTGAGGGGCAGGGATGGGGAGTCAGTCACCTGGCAAGACTCCCTCCATAAGGGCAAAGGAGCTGACTGTGTAGGGCTGGCAGAGAAGCAAGAAAGCGGTAGCACACTGCTGTCCACGGAATTAAAAACTTGGTTGTAACGGGAGAGATACTGAAGCAAGAGCTTTTGGGCTGCTGTGAAATATGATAGGGTGGGAGGGTCCCTAGGCAGCTCCCAAGAGTGACAGCACTTCAGAACCATACGGAAGCATACGGAAGGCAAAGTGGAGATGAAACCCTCGGGAGGTCTCATGGTGTGTGGGTCTCCAAGCATCACCTGCCTGCGCAGTTGTAGCCAAATGCAGTATATTATGAACACTACAAAGAACTGGGAGGTAGAAGTAGATACAGCATAGTGGTGGTTTGCTTTTTCCTCAGTCAAGTACAGATGACCTGAGCCAAAGTCCCCCTACTTTAAGTCATGCTATCTAGTGCATGTACCAGGAATTAGGACATGCCCAACATGCAAGAGGTCAAATGAAGATGGGGATGCTTAATCATCCCCATCTTAATGTCTTATTTGCTTGCCTGACCTCACAAGGAGTTAGCTCGCCAATGGAAAAAATCATTGCCACCTGCCCAAACACTTCAGTTCATCAAACAAACAAACAAACCAATGATTAAATGGTGGGACCCCCCCAAAAAAACCTAAGTATATATCCTCCAGTTTTGTCCCTCCCCACGCTGGCTGCATGCTGCCCTCCCTTGTGCCAAAGGAGCACAGAACACCGCTCATGATGCTGTCACTACACAGAGGTACACTGCGCTGTGATGTGAAGTATGGAATCGAGAAATCTTTGCACAAACAGGACAGTAATTCTTGGTCTGAAAAGCCGAGAACCGATAGAGTCAGCTGAGTTGGGCCATCATTTAAAAGATGAATGACAGTTTAATAGCCGCTAGATAGTCCCCTGAGATCTGAGGTTTGAGAGTAAAATATGCATTGTCGGTACCTCTTTCGGTTGTTTTCCAGCATGTTGCTGTTGGAGAAGTTGAAGCTGCAACTGTTCTTGTTGTTTTTTATAAAATTCTTGAAGCTGCTGCTACAAGAGAGAGAGGAGGGGACGGTAAGTAACAGACGACCGAGGCCCACCATCCCTCTCCATGCCATGCACAAACTGTGATTTGAAAAATAGCATCCTTTTATCTGGAATGGCCTGACCTTTTACTTTGAAACCTGACAATAAATTCCACGCACACTGACTATTCTTGGCATTAAGGTCTGAGGAGTAATCTCAAAAATGAACTGATGAAAAACATACCATTTTCTACACAAATTAATTAAAATAAGGCAAAAGGATGACCTTTGATTGTACAACAAAGCCAAGATGCCCTTGCAGAGTCTGGTCAGCCTCTAGTACAGGCTTTCTAAATTATGGGGGGGAGGGGCAAGGAGGGTCTCACTCTTGGATACGTCAATGGTGTTTCGAACTTCCTTGAGTGTGTCCTCATCATTTTATGCTAGTGACTTCTATCCCTGTAGCGGCTAGCCTTAAATGCTGGGTTCAGGTTGCCTCTTAAATCTGAGGATTATGTCCCCAAGACACAAGGACAGTCACAAGTTTATCCGAACATCATATGTTTGGAAAAAGTAAACTCTGTGCCTTGAAAATTAATGAACTCCTAAATGCTTCTTTATATGTCCATGGGGGAAAAAGTTCAAAGGTAAGACTTAGAGTTGAAATGGGGACTTCAAGAGCAGTCTGTACAAACTTGCTTCCAGTGTACACCTCATGTCGCCATGATTCATGCCATTTCCAAATCTCTTGGCTTACCAAATAAAAGACTGTAAAGCTATGTAAGTCTGGAAGATCTTTTTCTACCAAGTCTAATCACAGCCCTAATGAGTCTCAGTCCACAGCGCACTCTCCAGACCTGAGCTCTGGACCCTTCATTCCGCTCCTTCAGGGCCACAGATGCCACACTTATCACTCGGGGACCAGGTAGCACTTTGTGCCACTTAGCCTGCCATGTTTATTCTTCAATAGGGGAAACAGCTGTGTGGATGAAGGGAACTGTGAACCGAGTTGTAGGGCTCTGGGCTCTGCAGAGTGGGCAGAAGGAGGACAATTACCTGTTGAAGCATGAGGGCCTGCTGCTGCTGGAGGAGAACCTGGAGCTGCTGGGGGCTCAGCACTTGCTGCTGGAGGATCTGCTGCATTTGTTGGGGAGTGATAACCTGAGGTGTCATCATAGCCACTGACACGGGGACCTGGAATATTAACAGAGGGTCAAGTAGGAAGCCAGGAAGCCACACACCTCAGCCCTCCAGGGTCTGCCTACTTCAAGAATTGACCAATTTCCTACCTACTATGTTTACGGTGAAGAGATACAACCACAATCCTATATAAACCCTTGTACAATTATCATCATCAATTTTATTGTGATGTTGTTGCTAAGTACCAAATTCAGGGTATCACAGAGGCAGGGCAAGTCAAGAAATGGAAAAGAAAATCTCGCAACCCGGATGGCTTTCCAAGCCAAGAAGGAAGCACATCTTAACAAACGTTATCAGGATTAGGGGCAGATCCAACCTTATTCACAACAGATCTCTAGGCAAAATGAGCTGTGAGAAGTAGCACTTCAGTTTTGTTTTAGGGAGGAAATTAAGGAGGAACAAACAGCTTTGTAGCCACAGCTGGTATGACCCACTTCCCTTGTGGACAGTGATTTTCAGATTTTCAGAGTCAAGGATGCTTAGTCTAGGGTGGAGGACAGTGGGGAGAGAATCGTGAACCCACCTTCTGAACTTAAAACGTGGGCCCTTCCTTAGATGCCTTTTACCCTTCCTTATTCACCCAGCATACAGATGTCTCCATTCTTTCATATTATGTGTGATACCGGTAAAAGCTGCTTTCCATGACATTTCAGTGACAAACAGCTACAGTGATGAACTTGATAGCATTTTGTATTTGCAACTGTTAACACGTTTCTGCACGGGCATCTTTGCAAGGGACCTGCACACTATATCTGAAAGGATGATGTCTTGTTCAGATAAAACACTGACATTAAAATGACAGGCTGTCTTGGCCAAGGTTACACAAATTGTATTCAAGCGGATACCTAATGACAATGCTATGAATTCTGCGAGCTTTCTAGAATGTAATTTAGCTATTCAAAATAATCACTGCACTTGTGTTTAATTTTCAGACTACATGAGAACCATTTTGTCAGTCCCCGTAATCCAAGAAGACTACTTCATGAAAAATCAACCCCCCATAAAAAGATATGAAAAGAAAAGAGAGAAAAAAACCCATACATATAATAAAAGACAAGAGCCAAATGTCTCCTAAAGAGTAATATTTAAGCATCTTACTTTTCTTTGGATTTTTAGCAAATGTGCCAGCAAGGAGCTAGAAACTGTAAAGGATATATATTTTGTTAAAAAGGGTCTGCTGTCATCTCATGTATTACAATAAAAGGTAATAACATGTTTTGCACTTTGCCTATGTGCCACTTAAAAAAAAAAATCCTGCAGACAATAGCTGATCAAAAGATAAAAGAATTAAAAAAAAAATCTTTCGAGGGAACAGTAAGCAAAAGAGAGAAACGGAGTGTTAATTTTATGTAACATAATGTCTTAATATGCAGTTTATCTTGACTTTTTCACATGACTTGCCCTGTCATTTGCATAGCGAGCTCTCATTCCTAATTTCACACTCATTATGCACTGATGTCCCGATTTCTCAGCATCACTAATTTTGATGAACTAAAAATGGTTCCTGAAGGTCAGATTCACATGCAATGATCATTCTCCACTGTTGTTGTGGCATGTTGTGTGTTGGGGGACAGTTGGGGGAGGTTCATGCACAAGTTTCTTGTGTTTAGAAAACACAAGCTAGAACACTCAAAAAATTTCATTAACCCAACTCGGGGAGGTCATCCATGAATTCTTCCTATTGCAGTGGTTTTTTTAAGTGTAGACATAGTTACACGTAATTTAAAACAGATGGGCATGTCTGAATATTTTTATATGCAAAAAGGGACAGATGTATATGAATGGATAAATTATCCTTTTAAAAAGATAATTCGCAGCATGAAATATCACCAATGATTGGAACACTGAACTTGCGTACAGTCTAGGGCAAACGCCAAGAAGACACTATCAAAACATCTAACCATCTACGTACTAATTCCAATTAGTCAACTTCATCTTCATCCAGAAGAAACTTTCTGAATGTTTAAATATGCACTGGTTGCCAATTGCGATCTTCAGAGCTCCTGAAGCCAACATATCACAATAGAAGTTTACTATTCCTTGAGAGTCGCATGGCCATACAGGAGGCTCACTGAAGCAAACAAAGGAACCATGTTTAAGGTTTCTTTTTCTCTCTGCATTTCTTGGATGGCGTACAACACAAATACTGGTGAGCCAAATGTCTAATGGCGAAGGACAGGAAAACAGACAGGAACAGGGTGGTGTAAAAATCTGAACTGGTGATGAACACAAACCTAAGATCACAGTGGCAGAGAAACAGTAGAGAAACAATCCCCTCGTATTGTAAAAAGTGGTCTGGAGTCCCTGTGTTAGAAAGGGGCACAGGTAAATTTGGGTGGGGGAGGCTGATGGAAACAGTATGGGGGGCCACATAGATTCATGAATGTCAAATCACTTCCAACTAGATCAAGAGTGTATTCTACAGTACATATACTCTACTTTAATAAAGGCAGACCTGAACCATAGTAGGTAATGCATATGTTACTGATTTTTTTTAAACCTTACATTTTAAAAGCATTTTATTTGTAAACCTGGGAAAATACTATATATCTTCTTGAATGAGAAACAACATGGCCCCTTAACTGTCAATAAAAAAAGGGTGGCCAGGGAAAGACTGACAGGTGCAGGTAATTTTTAAATCCTTGCAGAGAGCCAATGGTCTCCAGCTCCTTTTCCCACAGTTACTTCTTCATTGTTGGCAGTCGAACTGCAGAACAGTAGAATGAACTTGACTCTCCTCTGCTTGTTCCTTTTGGACACTTTGATGGAGGGTCTGATGAGTAATAAAACGCTTCAAGCAGCAGGCACAGCCCAGCCAGGGACAGGCGCAAAGAAGCCCGGGTAACCCTCCCAACTAGTGGAGCGGTCCCTGAGTAATCTGAAGTGGGCCATTATATCCTGATGGCTTGAACTCTGCTTTTACTATCTGAAACCACAGTTTCACATCAGTTAGTTCCCAGCCACCAAAGTGGGCCAGGGAGCTTCATTTACAAATGCAGTGAAACAGATTTTGGTCGTAATCCCCCCCCACACACACACACACAGGACAGGAGGTCATGGCAAGGTTTCACAAAAGTATTCGGATGGACCAGAAACCATGGGGGGGGGTTGAAAAGAAACGAGAGAGAGAGAGAGAGAGAGAGAGAGAAAGAGAGAAAAAAGTAGGTGCAGAGTTTAAGGTTTTAAATAGTTAAGAATTATGGCCTCTATACCCACTCCCTTGATTCCCAGTGTCCAGCTTTCTGGTGTAGCTAGTCCCTACTAATACTGGGAATCAAAGGGCATGCGGTACCAGTGAGGGGCTATTACAGCCCACACTTTATTACCCATTACTACTGAGGTCATTAGCGGCAAGAGTGATTGTCGTAGCCCTCACCTATTGATCACTGTAACTGCCATCATTTAATCCTGTGTTGAATGTCTGGAAAGCAGCTAAAGGCACACGAGAGAGAGTGGTTTAGCATTGAGAAATATGGCCAAAGCTTAGAAATTACACTTTGATTCATAAAATCTAGCCAGTGGTTTAAATCAATAGTATTTAAAACAGTCATGTGAATTTGTAACTACAGCTGTCTAATATTTATAGGGCCCTCATTGAGAGTGTTCCATGAAAACTCAACTTTGTCCCCCACAACCCCCACGCCCACCTTACCCTCCTGGAGATAAAAATTCATTTGTGATGCTCTGTGTAGCCACCCGGGCTTGGGCCTTATCTGGGAGGTGAAGCTTATTCTTGATTTTTTTTTTCCCCCTCAGAAGACAATTTAAATACAAGGCAAGGGAAAAATTATCCCTGTGTTATAGCTATGCTAACTGTTTGCATGTACAGAAATGAGTGTGCTGCATGGGGCTGTGTGAGCTCACAATGAATCACAAGAGGCAATTTATGAAGACCTAGAATGATTCTGTCTAGCTGCCTTCAAGGGATCAGAAATTCAAATAAAACTTCTAGCAGGCATTTGTAAGAGTGCTAACCTTAAAATGCTGAACTTAAAAACACATGTGCACCTACACTCTTTATTTGAGCTTTCTGGGATATCATGAATTTAAAAAAAAAGTGAAAACAGTGCAGGATATGCTGTTGACTGATAACCATGGGGCGTGGCCCATCCCAGGTGCACACAAACCCTCCCGAATGGCACAAATACAGCTGTGCTCAGCCATCTGAACCTGGCTAGTATGGGCCTGCTGCTGCTTAACACCAGCAACTAGAGAAGCATCTTTTGCACCAGTGACTGTGGGTAAAGGCTCAAGCACTTCTGGCATAGTTTCCTTTTTCTCCAAAAGGACGCTATATCGCTGGAACACTTGCAGACTATTAAACAATGCACTGTGCTTTCTTCTTGCTCTGACTTTCAAAGTGGGGGAAGGTAGGCAATGGGGAAGAGGACTGTTGAAATTGCAAAAGCAAACAAACAAATAAAAAAAAACTCATAGAAACAATACTTGGTTCTAATCTAGGAGACAATGGAAGGAATTGGGTGGGAGGCAAGATGACACACTATAAATACTGAAATAACATGTTATCATTTCTTTCTCTCCCTCTCCTTTACACTGAAGTTAACTACAAGTGAACCCTGGCCAGCACAAATACACACAGATTTTATACATCCTCTCATAATTGCTATGTATACAAATCATACAACTGAGATGGTAAAAATGCAATACCCACTCCATTTTTATTAATGATCTATTATAATATTTCCATCAAATTACTCACAAACAATTATTTGGAAACTGTTTTTCAACCTCTGATCGTGAGCAGCATGTATGCTCCGAGAAACTCACTAGCCTTCCACACTTTAAGCTGTGTTTGGGTGGCAACTGATGCGGTTAGGCAGTGAGTGTCACCCAGTCAGCCACATAACGAGGGCAAAACAAATTAAATTAGAAGGCTCTAGAATGTCAAAACAAAAGCAAGCAAAGAAAATGGCCCAATTTAAGACAAAAAGAAATTTCTAGGATCATAAGGAAGCTACCATGTATTTGTATAA